GCCCCGCGTGGCCCGGACGGTGGAGACGCTGCGGCGGGTGGGCGACGGGATCCTCGAGAAGCACCAGCTGGCCTTCCAAGGTGGGCGGGCCGCTCTCTCTCCCCGTGTGTGTAGGATGTCTGTCTCCTCTTAGATCTGCCCACTCCTGCCTGTCTGCGTCTACGCAGGTTTTGTAGCCACATCGGGCTATATGGCTATCTATATAGGGGCTCTATAGCCATGTCTGTGGAGCTGCGGTGGCTCAAGTGGTTAAGGCGCTGAACTGCGGGCTGTGGAAGGCCGGTAGTTCAGCAGTTCGAGACCTGAGTGTGCCGCAAGACGGGGTGAGCTCCCGCCTCTAGTTCCAGCTCCTGCCAACCTAGCAGTTCGAAAGCAAGAAATGGCAAGTAGATAAATAGGTACCGCTTCAGTGGGAAGGGAACAGCGTTCCGTGCGCCTTGGTGTTTAGTCATGCCGGCCACAGGACCACGGAAACGTCTTCGGACAGCGCTGACTCTTCAGCTTTGAAACGGAGATGAGCACCGCAACCCTAGAGTCGGACTCGACTGGCTTTCGAGCAAGGGAACCTTTACCTTTTTATAGCCATGTCTGCCTATGTGTATCTGTCTACCTGTCTGTGTCTGTACAGGTTTTGTATCTACATCGGGCTATATATCTATAGACCGATAAATCTATATCTATAGGGGCTCTATAGCCCTGTCTGCCTATATGTATCTCTCTCTATACCTGTCTGTGTCTGTACAGGTTTTGTATCTACATCGGTCTATATATCTATCTATATAGGGGCTTTATAGCCCTGTCTGCCTATGTATATGTCTATATTTCCATATATTTCTGTCTGTATATTATATGTCGGTGTTATATCTATGTCTATTTATTTTCATCTATATATAGGTGTTACAGCTATCTCTGTCTATATTTACATCTATATCTGTCTGTAGGTTTTATAACTATGTCTATATTTATTTTCATCTATATATAGGTGTTACATCTATATCTGTCTATATTTCCATCTATATCTGTATATTATATATAGGTGTTATATCTATGTCTATATTTATTTTCATCTATATCTATCTGTGTATTATATGTAGGTTTTATATCTGTCTGTATTTATTTCCATATATATCTGTCTCTATATTTAAATGGGTTTTATATCTTTCTTTCTGTCTATGTCTGTATATCTGTATCTGTCAATATCTGTCTATATATACATTTATTTATGTAGGTTTTTTAATGTATCCCCCCCCCAAAATGCCTTGCAGCCTGCTCCTCTTTTCTCTTTTAACCTCACAACAACCCTGTGAGGTAGGCCAGGCTGAGATTGAGGGCTTGGCCCTCGAGGCCACCCACCAAGCTTCTGTGGCACGTGTTGGGATTCCAACCCAGGTCTCCCAGACCCTGGTGCAACACTCTAACCACTCGGCCTCGCTTCCTCTTAAATAGAGCAAAGCTGGAGTCCAGTGGCACCTTTAAGAACAGCAAAGTTTAATTCTGGGTATAAGCTTTGGTTTGCATGCACACTTCTTCAGATACATGCCCTGAACCAGTTAGAGAAAATGTATTCAGGTGGGTGACCATATTGGTGTGAAGCAACAGGACAAAGTTTGAGTCCAGAAGCAGCTTTAAGACCAACAAAATTTAATTCTGGTATATAAGCTTTTGTGTGCACGCACACTTTTTCAGATATCTGAAGACGTAGGCATGCACACAAAAGCTCATACACCAGATTAAACTTGGTTAATCTTATGTCTGGACTCAAACTTGGTTCTGTTGCTTCAGACCAACATGGCTGCCCCGTTGGATCTGCCTCTTAAATAGTTGCTGTGCAATTATTAGAAGGAAAGAGTTTGAAAGGAAAGGCTGTTTGTCCCTCGATAGCCCTCCCTTTCTCACAAGACTCAAGGACGATTGCAAAGTGGCTTGGGTTGTGAACAGCGCTCCCTCTAAGCTGTGGAGTCTTGTGAGCAAAAACTCTACTTTGTGAGCTGCTGGCATTGAAGTTGTGAGCGAGCGATTTGGCTGCTGCATCAACCAGTTTGCTCTGGAGCCACCCTTCCCAAGCGAAGACAGAAATCTGTGAGCCAGAAGTTAAAAAAACTGTGAGCTAGCTCACACTAACTCAGCTTAGAGAGAAGCCTGGTTGTGAAGGCGGGGGGGGGGGATTTGGGTCTGGCAGTGTGGATGGGTGAGTGAGGGGCTGGGCTGGGTGTCAGACTGGGGTTTGGGAGAGCTGGGTCCGAATCCCTGCTCCGCCGTAGACCCTTGATTGGGTAACCTTGGGCCAGTCAGACACCCCTACCTCACAGGGCTGTTGTGTCGAGGAGAGGAGAATGGCGTGGGGCCAGGCTTGGAGCCCCCAGCCTACTGTGAAAGCTTGGCATGTTTCTAGTATCTAACCTTCCTTGTGGAGTCGTGCTGAGGATAAAAATGCAAAAAGTATTAACTATTTTGGGTCCCTGCTGGGATGGAAAGTGGGATATAAATAAATGAATGAATTTAGGGAGGGGGTGCTGAAAGGTCGGTTACTGAAATGGCAGTTGGGGGGAGGGAGGATGAAGCAGCTTTATTCTGAGTCAGACCCTGCATGTGTGTGTGTGTCAAGGTCGGTCTTGGCAGCTCTTGCGGGCAGTGACTTTCCAGGGTCTGGAGCTGATAAAAACAGTTTCTTTTCCCCTGCTGCCTCTGGAACCTTCCTTTGGCCCGGCCACTGAGCCACAGCCCTTCCCTTCTGCAGCGAGAGGGGAGGCCAGCCTGGCCGTAATCTTCAAGCAGGGGTAGCCCACCCTAGTCGCCAGTGCGTGGGTGGCTCAGCTGGGCCTCCGCTTCCTCTTCCCCCTCCCAGCGCTGCGGGGAGATTTTGCTGAGGGCCCACAATGGTTTCAAAAGCAACCAAAGCGAGCAGAAATGAAACTGAACTTTGCCCGCTGGGAGGCAGGGTAAACCCCCCTCGCATGCAGATAAGTCTGGTTACAGATTAGCTTGCGCTTGCTCACATCCTGCGCCTCCCCTCCCGAGCAAATGGAGGAAGACCGAGGCTGTAAACAGGCCTGCCTGAAAACAAACTTCCTCCTCACTTGCTGCCAAGTTTCCTGACTTTACCCTGGGATCTCATTTTGTTTGCTTCAGACTTTTAACGTCTCATGTTAGCATATTAAAGATTGCAGAGTAGGCTTAAAATGTCCACGAACTGGAATATTCCAAAAGCTGAACTAGTGTGCTTCCGCAGCCTCTCCGTTCATGATGTTGAGATTCCGAAGAGCTTCTTAGCAGATAATAAAATTGTCTTTGAAACCTGACGGTAGCTTTGCAAACAGATGCTACAGATAATGTCCCTTTAAACCTTTAGTATACAGACATCAGAATGGCAAGTTCTTCTTGCTGAGCAAGTACTCCTTTCCTGGACTGGAAAGGGTGAGGAGAACTTATTAAAGGCGCTGAGTTCCATCGTGGAAAAAGGTTTTCGTTAGCTTTAAGCCTTTTGAATAATCGCCTCACTGTAAAGCAAACAACACTTGCGCATAGATGCTGGCTCCCTTGTTCTGAAATGGATAAGAGCTGGTTTTGAGTAATTTCCTGTTAACAATTTCAGCTGCCCTTGAATTTCTTAAGTGGCACTGAGTAATTGGCTCATAGCAGAGCAGTGACTTCTGAAGTTGTTGGATTGTGTTGAGGAGACTGCCTTGAACAAAAGTCAACATGAACATTTCTGTAGCTCTTTAGATATCCCTTTTATTTGTATCACAAAGAGTAGAAATAAGAGCCTGTGTGTCTAGCTTTCCACCTATAAAGGCCTAGTTTTGAAGATACACTGAAACCAATCTTCATTTGCTGACTTTCTCAAAAAATGCTGGGATGATTGTGAGTGGAGATCTTTTGCCCAAAGATCATTTTTTCTCCCTTGCCTCTTCTGTTCAGGAACAGAGGCTGGTACCTTATTCAGTGACATTCGAAATAGGCCCGGTGCTTTCTGTCCCCAGCCTGTGTTACTTCAGTCCTCACCTAATGCTCGCCCAAACCTTTTCCCACTCAGGAATGCTTAAGAAGCTGGAAATCAAGAACCAGGATGATCTGAAGTCTGTTTCAGAAGTTGCCACACACGTTTTCAGTGATGGCGTAACCAACTGGGGACGGATTCTGACTCTCATCTCCTTCGGTGGCTTTGTTGCCAAACACCTGAAGAGTATAAACCAGGAGAGCAACATCTTTCCTTTGGCAGAGATAATCACCGACGTGCTGGTGAAAGACAAACGAGAATGGCTGGTCAGTCACAACGGCTGGGTAAGTGAGTCACTGCAGGGACTCAGCTGAATGCATGAAGCTGCTTTATATTGAGTTGGATCATTGGTCTGTCAGTGTCAGTAGTGTCTGCTTGGATGGGCAGTGGCTCTCCAGAGTCTCAGGCGGAGGTCTTTCCCATCACCCACCATTTGGTCCTTTGTAACTGGAGATGCCAGGGATTGAACTTGGGACCTCCTGCATGCCAAGCAGAGACTCTTCCACTGAGCCACAGCCCCTCTTTACAGCTCTTCGGGGTCTCAGGCGGAGGTCTTTCCCATCACCCACCATTTGGTCCTTTGTAACTGGAGATGCCAGGGATTGAACTTGGGACCTCCTGCATGCCAAGCAGAGACTCTTCCACTGAGCCACAGCCCCTCTTTACAGCTCTTCGGGGTCTCAGGCGGAGGTCTTTCCCATCACCCACCATTTGGTCCTTTGTAACTGGAGATGCCAGGGATTGAACTTGGGACCTCCTGCATGCCAAGCAGAGACTCTTCCACTGAGCCACAGCCCCTCTTTACAGCTCTTCGGGGTCTCAGGCGGAGGTCTTTCCCATCACCCACCATTTGGTCCTTTGTAACTGGAGATGCCAGGGATTGACCCTGGGGGACCTCCTACATGACATTCTTCCATTGCTCTTTATCTGGTAACTCCTTCCAGGTGTAATCGGATACACAGCTAGAGGCTGAAGTAAGGCCTCTATGAAAAGCCTATACTCTGTGGCCGCCTTCCCTTATCACTGCAAAGGTCTTGTTTCCCACACAAGGAGCTTGAAAAGTATAGGATCCCATTGAAGATAGGGATGGGCCGAGGGGGGCAAGGCTCAGGTCTAAACGTGTTGTCCTCTGCCATCTCTTGATACATGAAACATCTCTAGATGTGTCCAGAACATGCTCAGCTGCTGCTGCTGTTTAGAAGCAATTAACACTCCCACTTCTTTCTTCCAGGAGGGGTTCGTAAAGTTCTTCCGTGTGGAGGACATAGAAGGGAGCATCAGAAACGTCCTGATGGCTTTCGCGAGTGTCGCTGGCATAGGAGCAGGCCTGGCCTACATGATCCGGTGAGCACAGGGAGTGCTCCCTGAGCGGAGCCGCTTCGGACTACCGTGTTCCTGCTGTTTTTAGGAAGCTGAGCTGATGGGAGAATAAACACCTGGATTTCCCGTGGAATATTTGGTGGTGAGGACTGTCAGTTTATAGAAGGTGACCAACCAGGGATGTCTTGCGGACGGGAGTAGATCTGAATGTGGGGAAACGTGGACTCAGCTCCCTAGAAGCCATGCCAGAGGACGTTCAGAGGAGGACTCAGAGCCCATCTGAACACCACTTGGGTCTTGGACTCGCCTCCAGCTCCGTCGGGCTCGGTGTGTAGTGACTTGCAGATCGTGTTCGGTGGTGTTCCGTTGGCACAGGGCCCCCGATCCTAGGCCAAGTGGTGTCTGAACCTCCCATCCCTTGAGCGTGTAGGGCTCGGGATAAAAGTGGAAGATGCGTTGCGGGATGTGAAAAAGAAGGATCTTCAGGTGTACACAGGATGCCTTTCCCTGTCGGTCAGCGCAATGGTGCATTGTCCATACCGGACAAAAATGGACTTACAACCTCAAAAAAAGCCGACTCCTCGTTCGTATCCTCTAAAGGGCTGATTCTTTTTGTATGTAGCTCTGCCATTTTGTCTCTCTCCCACCCCCAATGAGTCTTGGAAGCGTACACACTGCCGTAGCTCCCAAGGGCATATGCAGCTATGTAAGAAGGGGCACAGACTGTAAATATGTTAAGAAGTTCCTAGGAGAAACCAAGCCGTACTCTGTACATATGTCTGAAACTGTACAAAGTGTACATTTTTCCAGAGCTTTTATCTTTAGGTAAGGTTGTAAAAGAGGGTTTGGAACGGGGGATCAGCATCAGCTTTTGAAACTATGATTTAGCCCTGTTTAAAAGAGAAATAATGGACTTTCAAGAAAGTTCCGTCTAATGTGTTCAAGTGACACAGGTTTTTTTGGCGTAGTCAATTTAACCCTCCCAGTGAGCAGCTGGCTACAGTTTTGAGGTCCTTTGGATATTCTGTTTTTTTCTCTTCAGTTGAGGGGGACATTTTGAATGGAAGCTAGGCATTTTCTTAATCCTTTCAAACTAAGTTTTAAGCTAAAATTATAAGGGAATGTCATCTTTGTCTCTGACAATAAAGAATAAAAATGACTCCGTTGAGTTAGCAATGCAACTGCATTTAAAGCACAATCTCGAAATTCAGGTTGGTTTTTTTTTTTTTTTTTTTCCTTTTAAAGTTTCAGGACGACAGTTTGTAGACTTCAGGCTTCTTGAGCTCAGTTCTTAGGCAAGAAGAGTTTAAGTTGGTTTGCATTGGAGTCAGTTGGGTTGAGTCTTCACTGTACTGTTAAGATTTGTTCAGACCAAATGATGGCAGGCGCGAAAAACTGAACAGCAAAGCATGGAGACCGTGGTGCTATCCGGCTTGCTCGTTTACATAAACTCTCCAATACAACCGTTGTTTACTCGTCATCTTTGGCTTTTCCTGAAGCAGAAATGCTGAACAGATGGGGCTAAATAGGACTCAATACGTGTGTGTCTTTAATATCAGTGGCCAGACCCGTATTAGCTAACTGGCTGGCCTTGACCTGACTGCGAGCCCTCTTAACTTGTCCCCAGGGAGCTCACCACTGACCCGGAGGTGGGGCAGCTCTGGGCTTCCAGCAGGGCCCACTGTCACGGAACTCCCACCACAGGTCCACGTTCCTTCCTCTGCCCATTTGCTTGCAGGCACTCCACCAGCCATCCTCCCAGGTTCCCAGCATTGATGGGGAAACGCAGGTGTGGCACAGAGGCAGGTGCTCTCCTCACTGGCCACAGCAGCTGCACGCAACAGCTGGCGTTGTGGGGGAAAGTTGGCTGTGATCGCAGGGGCTGGGAGGGCTTGTGGGAAAGGGAGTGTAATGATTTCTTGTTTTGGTGTGTGTGTTTCTTTACATGTTTAGTTTGACTGCCGGTACTGTAAGATGAGTGATAAGAGGCAGATAAGTGTGATGTGATTGGCTGAGGACTGAGAGTGTGGGAGGAGGGGGTGTCTATGAGAGTGATTCTGTGTGTGGAGTTGGGAAGGAGAGCATAGTCTGTGTGACTATGGGAGATTTTGAGTCCATTCTGTGTGAGTAAGACAAACAGTTTAGTCTGTGTGAATGAGTTCTGAGTGTATTCTGTGTGAATAAGACAAAGAGTTCAGCCTGTGTGGCTATACAGATGAGAGAGAGAGATTAGACTGTCTACGCCTGTCAGAGTGGAGTTTTGGGAGTTTGAGAGACTGTGACACCAAACTTTGCCAGTTAGATCTACAACTTCCTTTCATCAGCAACCGTTCACAATAACCAGAAACCTATTTTGTTCTTTATTAAATAAATCATTTTTTCGTTTAAACTTATCCCAGCAATCAGAATAGTCCTTCCTCAGGGCCACATAGTCCGCTGAAGTGCCCAGTTCATTCTACCAAAAGAGAATTTTGGAATTTTTAATTCCTGGTGGCAGCAGAAATCTACCAAGTTTAGGTACACAGAGTGTTTTAAAGGTAAAACAGTCTCCCCAATAAGTGAGGATGCCCCCCCCCGGGGGGGGGGCTCTGTCTGGCCAGGGTCTCCCAAAACCTGGAACTAGCACTGGTCCCAGACAAGCTGGCTTGCATTGCCAAGGGGTGGGCATGGATTGCAGGAAACACCTTGATTTATAAGGACTTTGGGGTGAAGGGGCTCATTTCTACCGGTGGAAGGCTGACTTATAACCCACCCCACCCCTGGTCCTTCCAGCTTCTTGACTGGTGTCCAGGCGGTCTCATCCTGGTAGCTCGTTGAGCCCGCCTCGTGGGCTTCCGGGCGGTGGACAGTGGGGGCCTGTATTTGGCCAATTCGCTGCTCTTAGCCCAGCTGATGTTTCCGCAGCCCAGAGTTTTCACTGTTATATAAGTAGGCCTACATTAAAATTTAAAAAGAGTTGGACTATAATGAAGACAGAGCACCGAATAATAGATTCTTTTGAACTATGGTGCTGGAGAAGACTCTTGAGAGCCCTGGACTGCAAGGAGATCGAATCAGTGAATCCTAAAGGAAATCAACCCTGACTGTTCCCTGGAAGGCCAGATAATGAAGCTGAAGCTCAAATACTTTGGCCACCCAATGAGAAGGGAGCACTCCTTGGAGAAGACCCTGATGCTGGGAAAGATTGAAGGTCAAAGAAGACGGGGACGGCAAAGGATGAGATGGTTGGACAGTGTTATCGAGGCAATGAACATGAAATTGAGCAAGCTCCGGAGGACAATGGAGGACAGGAGGGCCTGGCGTGATGTGGTTCATGGGGTCGCGAAGAGTCTGACTCGACTGTGCGACTGAACAACAACAAATTAATATTCAGCTGGTGTCAGGATTATTTTAATGTTTCTGGAGCAACTGTACTGTATTTTGGGGGGATGGACACAAGTGCGATAGGCCATGCCCTCAAGCATAGTGGTTTGGAGCGCGGACTCTAATTTGGGAGCACCGGGTTTGATTCTCCACTCCTTCACGTGGAGCTGCTGGTGTGACCTTGGGTCAGTCACAAGTTCTCTCAGAGCTGTCCTTGAAAAAGAGCAGTTTCTGTCAAGAGCGCTCTCAGCCCCACCTGCCTCACAGGGTGCCTGTTGCAGGGAGGGGAAGGGAAAGGAGGGGTTGTAAGCCGCTCTTAGACTCCAGGTAGTGAAGGACCATGGGGTATAAATCCTTCGTCTCCTCCACCACAAGGGGGGGGCTCTTAACAATTTCCCAGAACTTACCTCATCGAAAGTGTGATTGTGAGACTCTTCCCAGAAGTGGCAGGTGGCTAAAGGCGATTAGTGTAAATCTTCGTAAAGTTCTGCAAAAGCTTCCCCGGGCTCAGTGAACTTCGGTTTTTAAAGATGCCATCTGTGTGAAGTGCAACGGGCATTAGGCAAAGCTTTGCCATGCAAATCAGTCCTTTGTAAACATCTGCTTCTTTGTGAAGGTGCAGAGCATGTCAGACTTTAAAGGGGGGGGGGGGAACGTGTGCTGTGGGGCGATGGGTTGTTTCCTGTTTCGATTAGTCCCTCACAACCAATGAGTCCATAAGAATTGGGAGAAGGGGGCTCATGCAGGCTGTTCGTACAACGTGAAACCTCAAGCCAGTTTGGTGTAGTGGTTAAGTACGCAGACTCTAATCTGGGAGAACCGGGTTGGATTCCGCCACTCCTCCACTTGCACCTGGCTGGATGACCTTGGGCAAGCCATAGTTCTGATAAGAACTGTCCTTGAAAAAGAGCAGTTTGTGTCAGAGCTCTCTCAGCCCCACCTACCTCACAGGGTGTCCGTTGTGGGGAGGGGAAGGGAAAGGAGTTTGTAAGCCGCTCTGAGACACCTTCAGGTAATGAACATAAGAGACGCCAGTGTTGGATCAGGCCAAAGGCCCATCCACTCCAACACTGTATCACACAGTGGCCAGAAATACCAGTGCCATCAGGAGGTCCACCAGTGGGGCCAGGACATTAGAAGCCCTCCCACTGTTGACCTCCCCAAGCACCAAGAAGACAGAGCATCACTTGCCCCAGAGCCCCTATCTATACCTTGTGGCTAATAGCCACTGATGGACCTCTGCTCCATATGCTTATCTAATTCCCTTTTGAAGCCGTCCATGCTTGTAGCACCCACCACTTCCTGTGGCAGTGAATTCCAAGTGTTAATCACTCTTTGGGTGAAGAAGTACTTCCTTTTATCCGTTCTAACCCGACCGCTCAGCAATTTCATGGAGTGCCCACGAGTTCTTGTATTGTGAGAAAGGGAGAAAAGTACCTCTTTCTCTACCTGCTCTTTCCCATGCATAATCTTATAAACCTCAATCATGTCACCCCTCAGTCATCGTTTCTCCAAGCTAAAGAGCCCTAAGCGCCTTAACCGTTCCTCATAGGGAAAGTGTTCCAACCCTTTTATCATTCGAGTTGCCCTTTTCTGCACTTTTTCCAAAGCTATAATATCCTTTTTAAGGTGTGGTGACCAGAACTGCACACAGTATTCCAAATGAGGTCTCACCATTGATTTATATAGGGGCATTATTATATTGGCTGATCTGTTTTCAATACCCTTCCTAATAATCCCCAGCATAGCATTGGCCTTCTTTATTGCAGTCACACACTGTCTCGACATTTTCAGTGAGTTATCCACTACAACTCCAAGATCTCTCTCTTGATCAGTCTCTGCCAGTTCAGACCCCATCAACGTGTATTTATAGTTAGGATTTTTGGCTCCAATGTGCATCACCTTGCACTTGGCCACATTGAACCCCATTTGCCATGTTGACGCCCACTCGCCCATCCTTGACAGATCCCCTTGGAGTGCCTCACAATCCTCACTGGTTTTCACCACCCTGAACAACTTCGTATCATCCGCAAATTTAGCCACTTCACTGCTTACTCCCATCTCCAAATCATTAATGAACAAGTTAAAAAGCAGTGGACCAAGTACTGATCCCTGCGGTACCCCACTGCTTACCACCCTCCACTGAGAAAATTGCCCACCTACACTCACTCTCTGTTTTCTATGAACTAGCCAGTTTTTGATCCATAAAAGGACTTGTCCTTCTATCCCATGATTTTTGAGCTTACTTAGGAGCCTTTGATGAGGAACTTTATCAAAAGCTTTCTGGAAGTCAAGGTAAATAATATCTATTGGATCCCCCTTGTCCACATGTTTGTTCACCCCCTCAAAGAACACTAACAGGTTAGTGAGACAAGATCTTCCCTTACAGAAACCGTGCTGAGTCTGCCTCAATAGGTTTTGTTCATCTATGTGCCTACTAATTCTTTCCTTAATAATGGTTTCCACCAATTTACCCGGTATCGACGTCAGACTGACTGGCCTGTAATTTCCCGGATCTCCTCTGGAACCCTTTTTAAAGATGGGAGTGACATTAGCTACCTTCCAATCCTCAGGAATGGAGGCAGATTTTAAGGAAAGATTACATATCTTTGTCAGGAGATCTACAAGTTCACATTTGAGTTCTTTCAGAACTCTCGGATGTATGCCATCTGGGCCTGGTGATTTTTCAGTTTTTAAGTTGTCTATCAGTTTTAGGACCTCCTCTCTCGTCACCTCAATCTGACTCAGGTCTTCCAACACCCCTCCTGAAATCAGTGGTTCTGGAGTGGGCAAGCACTTCTCATCTTCCACAGTGAAGACGGAGGCAAAAAATGCATTTAGCTTCTCAGCCATTTCCCTATCATCCTTCAATACTCCTTTTACCCCTTGGTCGTCCAAGGGCCCCACTGCCTCCCTGGCTGGTTTCCTGTTTCTAATGTATTTGAAGAAAGTTTTATTGTTGGTTTTTACGTTTTTTGCTATATGCTCCTCATATTCCCTTTTTGCCTGCCTGACCTCAGACTTGCATTTTATTTGCCATAGCCTGTGTTCCGTTTTATCAGCCTCACTGTGACTAGCTTTCCACTGCTTAAAGGAATTCTTTTTACTTTTTACAGCCTCCATTACTCTGTTTGTTAACCATGCAGGCTTTTTCCTATACCTGTTTGTGCCTTTCCTAACCTGCGGAATATATATTTTTTGAGCTTCTAGGATCGTAGTTTTAAATAGATCCCAAGCTTCCCCAATTGTTTTGACCCTTTCTACTTTTCCTTTCAGTTTCCTCCCCACGTGTCCCCTCATATCAGAGAAATTACCCCTTTTAAAGTTAAAAATGGTTGTGTGAGTCTTTTTGGCCAATTCTCTATTTGTACAAATGATGAACTCAACAACATTATGATCACTGTTTCCAAGCGGTGCAATCACTTTTACATCTCTCACCAGGTCTTGAGTGTTACTTAGGACCAAATCAAGGATCGCCTCTCCCCTGGTAGGTTCCGTGACCATCTGCTCCATAGCACAGTCATTTAGAGTGTCTAGAAACTCAATCTCTTTTTCCCGACTAGAACACATATTGACCCAATCAATGTGTGGGTAGTTA